TCTATCTATCTATCTATCTATCTATCTATCTATCTATCTGAACATTGAGTGTAAGCTATAGCGCCCCTTGTGGCAGTACTGAGAATGCAACACATAATTGCACTGAGATGTGTATTGAATTTGAACCCATTTCAAAACATGATAAATTAAATATAGCTTGTGTAGTTTGATGTATTTACATTCATACTTGCATAAAGTATGTTTTAGGCCTAAGAGTGAAAAAAATTCAAATCCCCTCACATTTCTTTCTCTTACGATGTTTTACTTTCTAAGAGTTGTTGAGAGTCGTGAGTCTCTTGGTTTTTGTCTTGTAATCCCTGAAGGCATTTCTTCACTCTGTAGTACTTTAGCATGCTTGTGTGAGTCATCTTACTGATGACTTTATAAAACTGTTGCTATCGCAACAGTGCAATGTGTGTGTGCCGGTCTATACACACTTCAAGCCAGTAACGTTTAGGCACTTCTGGCAAACTTGTTTAGGTATAATGGGCAACTATTAAGTTAAGTCAAGCGTGCCGTGAACAACATAATTAGAGAACGGTCTGATTGAGTCTGATGTTTAACCTGTTTTAATTACATGATGGTATTTCAACTTTATATCGATAATTTACATTTCTTAAAGGGCCAGCCACCCAAAAAAATTCTGTTATCATTTACTGTGCTAACTTTTTTTGTGTTTCATGGTTGAAAGTAAGTCATACAGGTTTAAAATGACATATGGGTGAGTAAATGATGACAGGATTATTGTTTTGGGGTGAACTATTCCTGTAAATGAGCTCTGCAGTTTGCTTCATTATCTCACCATGACCTTTTATAAGAGACCTTATAACATGAGAAAATTACAGTTTGGTTAATGTGTCACCTGCTATTCTCAGTTAATGTGTCATTCATTTAAATAACGTACTTGTGGAAATGCATTAGATGCAAAATAATTGCAAATATTTTTAAGATGACTGATTGGCCTGATAGAGTCACTTAGTAAGACTTTAATTTGCTGCTAGAAAGTTTCTGCTGCTCTCAAGTTATTCTTTTAAATTAAATGTTCTGGTGATTAAAACCATCTGTTGACTGTTTTTTCTTCTTCAAATCAGAAAGCGCTGGCGTTAATTATAATTACAGACTATGATGTGATGGTCATTAAATACATTTGTACTAAAAATATCCGTCTTGAACAGTAGTCCATGAAAAATCTGTATTATTTTTTGGTGTTTACACACCCCTTAGCATCCTGGCATTTGCCCTGACATTTGTTTTCTCAGGTTTTATGTTGAGAAAGTGCACTGCAGCATGAACAGGAGGATTCAGGTTTACATTCAGCTCCAGGCACATCCTCTAACTCTCTTTCTGTCTTGAACAGATAAGACCAAACATTATATATTCCATATAATAGTGTTCCTGTTTCTATGTAAACTAGCTGGATCATCCTAAAGATCTGCACTGTAAAATATTGCCAGGATTTTACAAAATTTAACAGTGTTTCTTGCAATAAAATGATCAGAATTTTACTATATATATATATATCTATAGATTCTGCCTTTACTCACAGCACTCATTATACTGTCTTACACACCAAACAGTGCAAGCAGTCGCTTTCAGTTTTCAGTTTTCAGCTACATGAAGGTTGCGCTGCAGAAGGTGTTTATTTTGGAACATCTATCACAGTTTCCTAGGAACCAGAGGCTATTTGAGACACAACATCGCTTTCATGTATTCAGCATTGCTAGCATTTGCTTTCTTTCAGTGAGATTTTTTAAAAAGTTAATAATCTAATTCCAGGTAAAAAATGCTCAGCCGTAAGCATTAGTAAGGCCGCGTGTTGAAAAAGCTCTTAGCTAATGGTTTTGAGATTGCCTCCTGAGATCTGACTCCACAACTGTAGCTTGCTAGTACTTTGCAGAGAATAAAAATTCTTCTGATTTAAAATAAGAAACACGGTTCAGACAAGTAGGTCTATAAGTCTGTAAGCTATTCGTTAGCATTCCCATTCAGCTGGTGCAGGAAGTGTGCAAGAATGCCGTCTTTGCTCTCAATTCTTGGCACAGAAGTTTTAGAGACATTTCATAAAAACAGAGTGATATTAAACATTTATTTGCAGTATTATCTGTTGCCCCCTTCACACACTAGCATTGCATTACATACAGTATAAAGGTGCTTCAAAAGGTTCTTCAAGCGATGCCATAGAAGAACCATTTTTGGTTCCACAAAGAACCATCTCTTTCTTACCTTTTTACCTTTTCTTTACCTTTTTTACCTTTTGCCACAAAGAACCTTTTGTGAAACAGAAAGGTTCTTCAGATGTTAAAGGTTCTTTATGGAACCATTTAGACAAAAAGGTTATTCTATGGCATCGTGAAGCACCTTTATTTTTAAGAGTGTAGTTGTTTAGAAAACAGCTGTCTTTACAAATATCATTTTAAATGCAAATCTGTAGATCTTCAGTCTGTAATTTTTTATAAGGCCAGCTCATATCGTCCCCAGACTGTCTCATTATATTTCACCAATGTTCCACCATCATTAATGGCATGTTATTTATAGAAAACCATTAAGGCTGATCATCTTTTAGTCCTGAATAATAAGACTGATAAAAATTTCTTAGCATTTTATAGGTGAACCTTTAAAATAATGAGAGCGTGCATGTTCTCCTGTATATCTGTACGTGAAACATCATTTGTAAACATTATATGAGCAGTAAACGTGAAGCTGTGTGATAAAGTGAGACTTTTGAGCACAAAATCTTGATATATAAATAATTTTTCCTTTAGAAGAGAACATGTGTTTTCATATACTAGATATAGATGTAATGTAAAGATATGGTACTGTAACGCTATTTCTCTTTTGACTTTTTCTAGGTTAGATTGTTTGACATCTGACATGATTGATGACTCTGCGCACTGCGGTGCTCCACATAATCACCCAGTGGACAAAACCAATGTATTGTCCTATAGGATGACATTTAAGGGGATAAAAAAGTATGACTTTTGCCAGGTTCAGATCAGTGAATTTAGCTAGATTTATAGTGGAGATGATGGAGAAACTCTACGGTGTTCGCAAGTTTGATTTATAAGGCCCCGGAGCTGACTATGAATTGTGAGTTGCTGAATTTACGGGAAGTGACTGGCGTTATTTTCTCATGCTTTGGTTGATTATATACACACTACTTTCAGAAGGGCTGAGTATTTACAACCAGTGGGCTCATCTGACACATGCACCTTTTTTATAAGACACTCTACAGACACAATGTGTTTGGCGTGTATGTCTGAAAGCAGTTGTCAAAATATCACTACAGGAGCTATTTAACCCGCAATATACAGTAGCATATGAGAGTTTGAAGGGCATTGCCTTGGACACATTCCGCTATCAATTTAACGTCCCTTTAAATTCCCTTGCATTTTTGAAGCCTGTGCTCAGGACAAAGTACATATATATTTTTAGTGTTATTTCAATCAAACCGCACTGAAACTGTGTATTTTTGCGCTTTGCTAAATGAACAAGTGAAAAGGTTAACATGAATTTGCAACTATTCAGACTGCAGTGAAATTCAATAAAGGCAAGTTGTTTGGTTGTCTAAACTTCTCCTGATGTGAATATATCTGAGTTAAAGAAAGCAAATCAAAACATGACATGTGAGGAGGAAGGTAAAGGCAATTCTCGGTCTGTATTTGCATCAGTGCAAGGTTGCATAACCTCTCGATGAATAACATAAACACTTTTCCAAAATTTTGGCAGAAAGGCTGTACGAAGCAGCAGGCAACAAAATGATGTTGCCACACATTATACCCTGTTTTGACCAAAATCAATGGGAGCATCACTTTTATCTTTCACAGATAAAGCAATCATACATTACAGTGGCCTACCTTTCTTTCAAAACATTCTCAACCTTTTTGAATTGAAGGCCCCCAGTGTCCAACACAATATTTGAAAGCCTCCTATATAACATTAACTATACATTAACTATAATGTATTATTAATAGAAACTGGGAGTGTTGAGTTTAATTAATTTTATTATTCCAGAAGAACTGTGTTCTTCACTAAAAACAACAGGTATTGAGGAAAAAATAAATATATAAAATTGATTGAAATGTTTTTTAAGCATGCATTTTCCTTAAGTTAGAATATTTAAATATAATTATTTTAATTATTATTTTGATTAATTATTTTAATTATTTATATATTACTCTATCTATATCTTACTCTATATATTACTCATGTCATCTATAATGTTCTATTTAAATCAAATGTATCGGTTTTACTCAGTACTTGATTTTGTGCTGATTAGAGTGTTAGCTTGGCAACATGTTAACATTATACTCTATAGAGTTATTTAGTCGTGTTGTTAATTTGTAATGCTAATTCGCAATGGGAACCCTGGGGAATTTTTTTATGGCTTTTTAGAATAGTGTTTTTTGATTTATGAGTAAAATAAGGTTTGTGTTTAACATATAAAGTGACTGTCATGTTTTGTTCTACAACATAAATCATACACAGTCGTGACTTAAACATACATTTTAAAACAGTTCTGTGTTTGGAAATGCAAATCTTCTTCCTGGTTTTAAGACTACAATCTGAACAGATCTTTTTGAATAAACTGTAAGTGTTATCCAAGTCTGTTTTAACCGTGTGATATAGCTAAATATGTGTGCGTGTGATTTACCGTTGTACTGTCAATCATAAGGTAGGATGCTTAGAAAGTAGCTGCTATGTAGACAACAGACAGGTTTCAAACAGAGCTAAAGACTCGTTGTAGTTTTCCAGATTTAACCCCACTGTCTCTGTCGGTCTTTTCAGGTTCTTGAGAATATTGAGGACATTAAACTGAAGGAGATGCATATATTTGAGTATAAGAAGAGAATCGCAGAAGCTGAAACAAAGCTGAAGCAGCAGCAGAACCTCTATGAGGATGTCAGGACAGAGAGGAACCTCTTCAGCAAGAACCTGATTGAGGCCAAGGTAAGTGTGTATATGTGTGTGGGTGTGTGTAGACCTTAATCTTACAGATTTGCTCCCCATGAGCATGAGAGCAGACGTAGAGGCCAGTGGATCCATGGGATGACTTCTTTGGGAAATTCGCCCTACTGAAGCTTGTGTAGGGTGGTGTGAACATTAATCTTTGTCCAGGAAATTGCCCCATTTGCACGAAGTCGGAAATAGCAGGTAACCTCCCTGCTGTGTGGCCTGAAACTATGAAAGTACATGAATGTAGCTTCTAGCTACACAAAACACATTTTCACGCATTGATGCATTGCGAAATGTGTCTGAATGCAATTCAAAATGCAACACAAGTTGCATTCTCAGCATTGTTGTGAGGAGCTCGATAGTGGAGAATTAGTGTGAACTGTCATTTTCTATAGTCACTTTTCTCTTTCAGGTCCGATACTGTCATGGTTTGAATGTCTACTGCCACTTCTGTTACTATTGCTAAGCAAATTAACTAAAGAAGAAGTTCACCATGAAATGAAAATGCTGTTCCCCTTCAGGAACTCGAGCTGCGTCGAGTCGCTTTGGGAACGCCCTTGCGTGACCGCGTTCTGAAGCACGTGTCAAATCCGTCCAATGGAGCAGCGAGACGTCACGAGCAGGGTGACGTAAGCACCAGAAAGCATAAAAGCACATCCGGCCGGGCGCAAACCAGCTTCTGCTCTTCAGTAGCGCTCTGTGTATGTGTCTGTCTATTTACTGTTGTCTGTCCGCACAAGCACTCATATATATATAAAACAATGAGAAAGTCTATGGCGAGCGAACGGCATTACAAACGCTACTGTGATATGAACAAAGTCTATTGCCTATTTATATATTAAAAAAAGGAAAAGCCCAAAAGTTTCTGTATCAATAGAAAATATGTCAACACAAGAAAGGAAGCCTTGAAAGCTGCAGTAAGAAACTCAAGTGTAAGACTTATTTTTCTATAGGTCTATAAAAGACTGTCCTTTGTTGTCAGTTTTTTGCTGATGACCCATTCCTGCTGTGTCACTTTTTTTTTGCTGCACTGAAGAATAAGTGTGTGTTTTGAGTGTGAATCTGCTAGGGCGGTTGTCTACCTGTCTGCCCAGCTGTCTTTGTGTATAAGTTTGGCCAATTTCTCACACACCTCCCTGTGTTCACTTCAAGGATCAGAATGCTGAGATGAAACGCAAGGTGAAGATCGTGAACCACATGTTCGAACAGCTAAAAGATGAAATCACCACAAAAGAGGTGGCTCTAGACAAGGAGCGCCAGGAGTTTCAGCGTGTAGAGAGAGAAAGGGAAAATCTCAAGGTAACCCATTTCATCCTTTACTGCCACATGTCTCTCGCCATCTTAGTTCTGTATACTTTCAAATCTAACATCACTATGCCTAGTCAGTATCCTTACTAGGCATGATGGGACACGCTTTCAATGAAGCATGTAGGGATGCACAACTTTGTATTTTAAACCAATGAGATTGCACAGAGGGGCTTCACAGTGCAATGTGCAGAAATAGAAACCATGCAAAAATGTTTTATGTCATTCCAACACCAGTTATGATATATTAATAAATATTCATAATAAAATTATAAAATTAATTAATATTATTAAATGACATGAAAGTATAACATTTTCACAAAAATAATAATACCATATTTGCAGTTCACAATTTGTTCATACTTACAGTATTATTCACTCAGTTGCAGAGTTGAATGCATTTTTTTTTTACTTCATTAAATTGTGCAGCATTCAAACTATTTAAAAATGATCTGAGTTTATACTGAGTATTTTCAGTAATTATTGTACTATTATGGAGTGATATTTGGTTTACATAATTTTAAATTTAATTTAATATAAAGGGGTCCTATTATGCTCTTTTACAACGTCTTGATTTGGTTTTGGGGGTGTACTAGAAGAGGCTCTGATACTAGGTTGTTCGAAAAAAACATTATTTTTCACATATTTTACATTATTACAACACCTCTGTCCCCAGTCTGGCATGGACGGCTTGAATAGTTCCTGTATCAAATGAAGGCCCGCCTTCTGAAATACGAAATATGCTGTGATTGGTTAGCTGGGCCAGTGTGTGTTGTGATTGGTTAGCTGGGCCAGTGTGT